TTTCGTATAACCAGCATTAGCTTTCACTTATTACATGAAGATCTCTCAGAATAAGCCATTACTGTTACTGTTAATCTTGTGCATCCCAATGTATGGGTACATGTATGGATTTATATTTGCTGATTAGAAGAGAACAGAAATATACAACCTACCCAAATGGTTAATATAGTAATACTGATTCTATTCAGAAACACCCAAGTGCATGTACTTAAACAACTTCATTATTTCATTAAAAAAGGCAAATTTTAGTGATAAGGATTGAAGCAGATTGTCATGTGCCAATTACCTTACCCTCAGTCCTTTAGAGTGTCTCTTCATGTTTGTTCATTTAAATTTAACAACAAATAGTCAAAGTAATAACAGTAAAAACTTTTAATTTTCTTCACGCATTCTTGGGGATGCTGACACAATTTCTTATGACTACGTTTGTTTCAAGAGCATAAGTAACCTTGGCCAGGGTCTTCATCTCATTCGTGAATTTTTATTTATAATTGGGCTTTAGCAGTGTAAATATAGTAATGAATGGAACGGAATGAATAAATCGAATAACACAAACTCTTGTTTTCATTACCAATCTTGGGCGGCCTGGGACCACTTACACCTCATGTCAAGTTACCGCAGACTATGAAGGCCTGCAATCCACTGTGAGAGTGAAGACACGTGGCGCCAAACTGCCGTGTGGTGCAAGATGAAAGAGAACGCTGCAAGTAACTCTGTTTCTGTGTTCATTTGACGTGGAAAGCGCCTATTGACAATCGTACGCCAACTGGACTTATGGCATCTACTACAGTCCAACTCTTGCTCAACCTGTTTCATGGTATGTTCTTTTGCTGATTCCAAAATCAGAGAGAATTAAAGAAATTCATAAGTGATTATCCTTTTTTTGTGTTAAAAATGAAACCTCTTGAAGAATATATTAATCATTACGGGTTGAGAAATTTGCCTCTGAGATTAAATATCCAGAAATGTGCTATTGAGTCTTTACAGTTCTACAAATCATCCGGAAATGATGCCAAATTCATACGAAAATCATGAATATTTCATGAATTTATTTCATAACTGTTTCCAAATTGCAACCAGTTGATTCCCTGTTTTATACATTTATTTTACTGTTAATTTCTATCAATGTTTACATCTTTGCCATTAAATACCATCCAAACAGTTTTGCTCTCTATAAACTGATAATTCAATGCAATTTCTACAGATTAACAGTGACCTTTTAGCTGTACACTTATTAACGTGTATGTCCAATCCAACAAGGATCTGAGACACTGTTAAAAGTTCAAACCTGACAGGCAAGAATGAAGTTTAGAAAAGAGGATTACCTACCTTTTTGTTTCATGTCCCTCATAAGTAAATTATTTGCTCGCGATTCCACTAAAATAGCACTAAATGTCCAGATCTTGCAGTATTTTTCTTAACCATTACTAATAATACAGGCAAGATTGTGCCTGTTGTGAACAACTAGAATTCATGGGTTTTGCATCTTGCAGGTGCGTCTTTAAATTACACCCAGAATTTGAACTCAATTTTGACGGCCTGGCCTCATTGCGAGAGGTTACGTCATTGACGTGGAGTCGTGGTGGTCCATTGGGAGCTGGACCTCTAAATGCACGCCCTCGAACTTTCTCACCGAGTTTTGACCCATATTGGCGGCACCACGTGTTGTGACAGTCTCTCAGGACCAACTAACAGCACGGCTAAGAGTTGCGAGTGAGGCATCGTGCTATGGTGATGACTACTTCTGTTGGATATGTTGTAAAGAACAAGCACATTTATTACGGATA